TGAGAAACTTTTAATGCTTTATAAACAGTTACACCAGCACAATAGAGTGGTGCTGATTTATATGGATCCATACCCTCTGGTAATTTAACAGCAAAATTACCATCCACAAGAGCATATTCAGCAAAACAACCATCAATTGAATAACCAGAATTAGTTTGTTGTTTACAAAGTGTTTCACGTCCCGTTAAACAATATTCACAATGAAGACAAGTTGAATGTAACCAAGTGGCACCAATAATATCACCTTTTTTTAAATGATTACCAACCATTGAGCCTATTTCAACTACTTCACCAATACCTTCATGACCTGGAATACGTGGTAATTCAGGTTTAATATCCCAATCTATGGAAGAAAAAAATATCTTTGATTAATATGAATTTAGAAAAAGAAAAAAAACTTCTTTTTACCTCCGTTAACAGCATGTAAATCTGTGTGACAGACACCACAAGCAATAGTTTTAATTAAAACATCAGTTGGTCCAGGTTTTGGAATTTCTACTTGTTTAATTTCAAGGGGTTTTTTTAAAGCTGTAACAACGGCTGCTTTCATACTTTTTATTTTAATCTGAAAAAAAAAGGAAAAAATACCGTCAATTATTAACCCGAACATATATATATCAATTGAAACTAAACACTCGTTAGTTTCGTCTACACCAATGCATTAAACAGCCAATGTTATATGTACATTGACACAAAAAAAACGTACTTTGATTATAAAGCGTGGCGAGGTTAGAGGGTATTGCGTTCGAACATAGAAAAAAGAAAAAAAAACAGAACTATAAAGACACGAGGAGAGATAAACGAGCAACAACGCCCCTCCCGTATATGAAGTGTTCTTGTACTTTCATTTTTCAATGGTTCAGAAATATATATTTTTTCGGTTCATGACCGAAATTGCAACATCTTCCAAATGTTTCAAAATAAAAAGTACATACAATGCATACGAAAACATCCTTTAAGTTCATTACAAAAGAAACAAAAAACACAAAAATATTTGCATTATGATAACGATTATTACGTTATTGGCAAACATTTCGTATTATTTATATACCACAATAGGAAATATGATAACTTGTATACCTTTTCTGATAATTTCAAAAGTATCAGTTACTATGTGACTTGCTCATCTTTCTATTTTTTTTTGTTTATTACAAACTACTACATATTGCATATTGTAAAATAAAATACAAGCATAATAACCGATGAGTCATAGAAGAAAAGAGAAAAATATAGGAGCAACAGCGAGGAAAAAAAATGAGAAGTTTGTATCGAGACTTCGGACGACAGAAAAGCACAATACAATGGGTACATAAGTTTACTTGCTTTCTTAGATGAGTTCGTTGTAAACACGAGGTTATTTTGGGAAGACATGGTGAGACTGTGGAAAAGAAAAGAAATAGATGAAATTTTTTCTTTTCAATAGAAGTAGAAAAAGAAACCTGCTTTTATAAATCTCGCGTGTTAAAAATTCATGAAACACCAATCTGTATACAATGCATTCATTCTCAATATATCTATTCAAAAGAGGAACATGCAATTATCGCATGAAGAACAGTGAAGAGAATCGTGCCATAAACACTATTCTGGCAATCAATATTAAATATGATGAAATTCAAATGCAATGAGAAAACGACGAGGAGATGGACACTTCTAGTCATACTGGAAAGGAAAATGTATAAGTAATCGAGGTATAGTAATACTATACAAGTTCGACAGAGGTCAGAAAATGACATTGAACTTTATCGAAGCTCAAAGTCTGTGTAACAAAAGAAAACTAAACAAAATTTTGTAGAATTAATTAATGACATACACAATTTTAATGATTTGAAAGAGTAATGAATAATAGAAATCATTTTATCAAAACATGACGACTCTTTCTGATAAGACTGTTAGCGTTCTCTCTTCTCTCTATGTGTGGTTCGATAGAGATATATGTATTCGTATGTCCTTGATGTACGTGGACAACTTTATTTCGTAACGTAAAATTAACAACTGTTTTTTATAACGATATAAAAGAATACATATATCATGAGAAGAACGAGAAGAACGAAAAGAACGAATACAAGATCAAACAGAGATGAAAGATGATAGAGGATAATACTAATATAGAGAATGTGTGTATACAGGCGACATCACTGTAACAAAGACAATAGTCCGAATATGCACACTTAAATTTCATTTGATTGAAATAAGGTAAATAAATTTAAATTTATTTTATAGTAAATGAACATGTTTACTCATTATGCTTCATTTCGTGCTTAATGTTTCATTAATGATTAAGTTGATGCTTTTCTATATTTCTTTTCATTTTCCTGTCAGGATAACGATGAATAGAGAAAAGGATTTCTTCAAAGAGAGAAGCTTAGTCTTATCCGATATTAATGTCTATTTAAAAAAAAAGCGCTTGCATATCTTTTTCAAATAAATTTTGATAAAAACAAGATAGAACGCTTCGACTTTCACCATTGAAAAGAGGAGATAAAATCGCATTGAATTATATATTATAGGGTCTTCTAAGATGGTTTCTTAATAAAATTTATAAGGAATAAGTGTCGAAAAAAGCAAGTATGTGATTTTTTTCACAGCAGTTGCTTGAAAAGTCGATCGAGAATTTTGCCTAGAGAACCTATGGATTCTGAATAACTAAAAGGGTGTGAATGTGGGTATGTGTGTGGATCATCCATTTAGCCACACCCATACCCACAAAACATATTTTAATTACTGCTTATTTAATTCACATTTTTAATTGATCTAAAGAATATTTTTGAATTTGTATTGAACATTTTTATGCGATTATTGTTTTAGATGACGGACAGATTTTAGCATCAACTAAAGTTTATTATCATTTTGACTCTTATTGGTCAATTTATTATTTGCAGATCATAAACCAATAATTCCATAACAAAAGCAAAAAGTATATTTAAGATATATTACGTATGAACACTTTATCCCTGTTGGACCATTCTCGATTCATTCATAAAAAGTATCCATTCGAACTAATAAAGCATTGGATCAAGATGGTTGCTAAACCTTGTGTAGAGTCTTCAACAAGCGACACATTCAAAAAAGAACTAAACTGTTTTTCATCATTAATTGGCTAATATTTATGAATTGGAAACCGTTGCCTTTTTTGTAAGACTTATGCTGGTGAGCTTGATATAAACTACTAAGGACATAAACAATTTGCAGGGTAGATTTTGGAAAATTCTTGATTACAAATGTGAAAGTAGCGTTTTTCATGACAGCTCGAGCCACTTGAGATTCATTCGTAGTGGGTAACATGAAAAATAGTTTCTCTAAAAATATTTTCTTTTCGATATAAACTCATAAATAACACAATCTTCAAGCTAAAAATTTTTATAAGAACTAATAGCAAGTCAAAAAGTATTCTACAGTGAGCTTTAAATAATTTTTTATCCATAAACGATAGAAACTTGCAGCTTTTATTTTAACCTTTCTTTTGAATGAAATCTTAACAACAAGAACAAGTAAAATTCGAATTGGAATGTCAAGTGACTTTGTCCAAAATTGATCATATCAGTGTCATAATTAGCATCTGCGTAAGCTATTCTCGTGATCTGGTAGTTAGTTAGTGTGCATCAGGAAATCCAAGAACTCCATGTCACGTCGATCAACTGCCCAGAGCTACAGTTATTATTGGCTCTAAGGAAGATATTGAGCTATTGAATCTGGCACTTGTTAATGCACCATACTCTAAGGTAACTGAAAAGAACGGATATTCTTCCTTCTTTTTTCTGGATAAACAGTACTAGGGTTAAAAGTAACAATGATATTCTATCACAATTATTGAATGAATATTTACAATTACAATATAGAAGTAATCTAACAGTTTATATTATTAAATTATATTAAGATTATAAACGTTTCTATTTGATGAAAGCATTATTTTTCTTTTCTAACTACAAAAATTATTCATTTTCTTCATGAAAAGTTTTTTTTTTAATGTCACGTATTTCACATCTCTTAGAAAGAGATAACAGAAGCATACATCAGTGGAAATATAAAAAACGTACTAGGATGCTTTCCTTTGAGTTATAAAAAAATCAACTTTTAATGGAATTACATCGAATAGAGCCTGTCGGATCCGATGAATTCCTACATCGAATCAAAATGAATAAATATGAAAGTCAAACAAGTACATGTTGAATTGACTCTAAGACAATTTTCTTGTTTGATGTAGCAATGCTTATATATGTTAGCGTCAACAGATGACACTATGTCGCCGCTAACTTTTTTGGTAAAGTGTCCTTTCTTTATTGGTCTCTATTATTCTCTTTCATTTAATGTAACCTATGATTATCATTCGTCCTTTGGTATATATACAGATATATATAGTTATCATAGTTTTTCCCCGTTTTCAGTCTCTCCTTTTTTGTTCAGTTGTAGTAGTAGTGGTGTGTAACATTAGGAAACGATGTGTGTGTGTATGTTATAATTACTTATTATTATTATCGTCGTTATTAATTAACGACATACATAAATATATCTTCAATAAACTGATTTACGAATACGTATAACGATCCCGTATCATTATATTACAAACAGTCAAGTATCTGGTAGGAATTGTATTTAACTTAAGTGAGTTCTCTAGACCTATACAGACCAGGGATTTTACTAATTATCTTTTCGCTTACGTATATAACGGGGGCAGAAGCAACGGATAATAAGCGGAGATTGAGGGTGGGTGTGGGCGTGGGTGTGGGTGTGGGTGTGGCTGTGTGGGTGTGTGCGTAAATAGGCGCAATGGTCAGAATCGTAGCCACATCCACACACATCCACACCCACGCGCCACACCCACACCCATACCCACACCCACACCCACACCCCACACCCATACCCACACCCACACCCAAACCCACACCCAAACCCACACCCACACCCACACCCTACAGTCACCCCCATTCACACCGTTAAGTAGACATGCAAAATATTAATGTTAATTGATCTAAAGAAAATTTTAGTTTTTCAATGTTCAGTTGTCAAATATTATGATTTAGCATATACTCGTGTCGAACACCATCACATCCTCTTATTGGACGTTTCCAATAAGCAGCTGTATCGCATGTCATTTGTCTAGCAAGTTGAGCATTGCTAACATAATGAAAAGTAACATAGCCAACATAAGAAACAGGAGTTACAATACGAAATTCACTTAGAGTATGAGGTTTCTCATAAAAGAATCGATCTGAATTAATTTTGGTCACCCCTTTTTGTTTTTGACAGTGCATAAACGTGATATCGTTCAATCCTTTGAAAGGGCATGTTGTCGTATAGATTGCTGGCATGACTGACATGAATGCAGGATGTGAAAAGACTATACCAGCACCTCCAGAAAAGTATGCCCATCCGCCAACATTTATATTATCCCAGATATATCCGATGGACAATAATAATCGATGATCAAAGAGTCGAAGGTATGATAGAAGAGCAGGTATATTAACCCAGGTATCATCATCTACAAATACAAACCATTTTACGCTGTTTATTAATTTAGATTTATTGTGAATAAGCCACTGTGATCCTAACAATTGTCGATGTTGTCCATCCCATTTCGAGGACTTGTTTCGGAGCTCAGGCAGCGTTACGAAGGGAATACTGTCGTTGGCTACATCAGCAAAAATGAAAAAGTTGCCTTCTGACCATTGCAACCATGTTTCTGTGATAATTCGGGCTCTATCAATGGTGTTCAAACTACCCATGACAATAAATAGAACATCTTTCGGATATAAGGCCATCGGAAGCAAAGGTACAAGACCAGTGAGAGGTGTAAACTTGGCAGCAGATTCCGTTTGAGGAAATTCGTCTCGAATCATTTGAAAATATTCAAAATCATTCAAGTAGTAGCGATTGCTATTATTTATAGCTCTTATTTTTAATGTTTCATTAAGTATTATATCAGCCTTCCATTGCTGGTTATATATCTGTCTTGAGTCTGGACTTTGGTGTTTCTTTGTCGATATGTGGAGCGAATTGAATGAACTCTTATTGAAATTTATCAAAGCACGTTCCAAAAAGGTTGATTGAGGCTCATTAGTGGAAATAATCACAAGACTTATTAGTATGACTATAGAGAGAAGGGTGCAGAGGGCAACGTGTTTGGCAAATGTTTCTGAAGGAATCCACCATATGCGATTGGAGAACTGTGTTGGTTCGTACAATGGAGAATCCATAATTGATATCTCAAGTGCTACTGGATGTGTTTTAGTACTGGTGATTGACTATAAATTTCTGAAAAGTAAAAGAAACCACAGAATAGCAACGAATGGCCAAGACTATGGATGAATTCCTAGGATAAACTTCGATATCTGTGACTATTTACTACATCCTCAATTGCAACCAAAGAAAAAAGTGTTTGTAAACATAAATGGTTGCTGATAATACCCGAAAAGTGTACTTATTCATAGCAGTTCATTGTGCCTCGAGATCGATCTAAGTACTGCAAGAAGGCGACCATTGAAAATTACTAAAACAACCAATATGTGACGAATAACTAACGAGATCTGTTTCGTAGCAAACGCATCTAACTTCTATAAAATAAATATTCTTTTCTCCAAGCATTGAGAAAGAAAATTAAAAATAAAAACATGTCACTCCGTACCAATAAAAACAATAAAAGGTGTTAGTCCATTAGTTAAAGCAGTGAATTCTAATTTTGAATATATGAAATAGAGAACTGCTGTGAAAAATATTTTTCTTAAATTTAATATTACTTAACAAGTAATTATAATGTAAGTGCGAGCTTTCGGACTCAATCGGAGCTCATCATCAGGCATATGAATCGATGTTGGTTGTGACCATTCATATTTATATTGTTATTAGTCTAATTCTTCCATTCTGATTGATATAATTATCAAAACAAGCGCTTGTATTGAACTTGAGTGTGAGTGTGGGTGCCTTATCTTCATACATAGTGACACCCACATTCTTCCGAAGTTCGTAATCTCATGTTTTGAAAATAAAAGGTACGAGTCGGTTCTAGGGCGCTAGGACAGAACGTCGCACGGACAAGGTGTCGAATATGCAAAATGTCTCGCAACATATTTTCAAGTTAAAAAAAATGCTGCTCAATATATCAAGGTAAAGGATCTAGTTTCATATACTAGGCAAGGTGACTTTGAGCTTGTGATTATCGAATTGAGGTGTAGCTGAAGCTATAGTCATCATCATGAGTCTCTTCTTATGCAATTAGATAGAAGACAGTAGAAATTTTCGTTAGCATTGGGGTGGATAAAACTGTTGCCAATATTACACATCTTCCTCCCTTCAAAATCAATTACCAACATGAACATTTACACTCGCCGATACCCTCTATTCATTCTCCGCAACATACCATAGTCATCTATACATACATCAACATTATCATAATAGAAGATCATGCTATTTTATTCTGAGAGGCGAAAAGGCAGGGTTAGCATTTTGCTAATCCGAAAATATGTTTCAATGTTCTGTCTGGTCACCGGTTCTGGATAGTTCCATTTCACGTTTCAGTCAAGACTTTCTGACTTTCCACTGTTAACATCATCAAATAACAATATGGGTACTGATACATTTCGTCGCACGCCATTTCGTCGACCGACATTTTGTGGCGTTCTATTTGTCGTACAGAACATGTTTTTCCTTCTGCTCTTTTCATTTCTTTTCATAACTGTATTTTTTAAAATAACCAATTGAAATAAAATGAAATAAATAAAAAATTTTGAAAGATGTGTACAGTAACGATAAACGATTGACTATTCCAAGGGATATGACTTTAAATGGGAAATCAGATCAGTAAAAAGTATTAATCAAAAATGATAATGATAGACGTAAGGTAAATGAAGAATAATTAGATTTGTCAGTCGATTAATAAATTTCAACATAATTTGGAACAACAATGATACTGATCAAATGTTTGTAATTATACAACCACGATAAATAAATATATAAATTGATGAGGTTGAAAATATCATTATTGAAAATTCGATAATGTAGAAGTAACTTTCATAGAGGAGCATTGTTTTTCCTTTTATATAAAGGAGCTTGTCCATTTGAAACATTTGTTTTGAAGAGTAGTGTGCGCTGAATTTTGAGATTGAGGAATCAAATATATTTTCAACCTCATCAATATATATTTTTATTTACCGTGGTCGCATAATTAAGAACGTTGGATCAGTATCATTGTTGGTCTAGATCATGTTGAAATTTATTAATCGATTGACAAATCTAATGATTCTTCATTCACCTTAGCTCTATCATGGTCATTTTTGATTAATATTCTTTATTGATCCGTTTTTTCCATTAAAGTCGTATTTCTTGAAATAGTCACCCTAGGCGAACTTTTTTTTTCATGCTCTTGACCTGAGCAGTTCGCAAGTTTTGTCCATAGCGCATGACTTTCTTGCTCAAGACAATCGCTTGAGTGTTGCATGAAAATACATCAATGAATTTTTATTAAAAGTTGAGTTGTTTTGAACGTAAAATTGCAAAAAAACTATAAAAAATTCTCGAATAACAGAAACACTTGCATAAGAATTCAAGCGCATGTGCAAGAATATCAAGCGCACGAGCAAGAATATCAAGCAATAGAGCAAGAAGTTCAAGAGCTTGAGCTCGCCGAAAGGTCTCAAGTCTTGCCTCAAGTTTTGTCTATAGCGCATGACTTTCTTGATCAAGATTTTCAAGTATTTCCTGCGCAGACCAAAAGAAGTTCGTCTAGGGCAATCATTTATCATTATTGTGTACATGTTTGAGAGGTTTTTATGTATTTTATTTCATTTTATTTCAATGAGTTATTTTAAAAAATGCATTAATGAAGAGAAATGGAAAGAGCAGAAGGCCATAAAATGCCGTACGACAAAGTAATCCGTTAACCACAAAATGACTACTATATATGTCAACGTCTGAAAATTAAAGAAAGAAAAAGACTAACAAAGGGTCACATGAGTGCTGGAAAAAAAAGTAAACTAAAGAAAGAGCAGATAGATATAATGACTTGCACTGCATTAAAAAAGTTGGTTAAAATCAAAAGAAAAGGAAAAAGTATAAATGTCTACATACATTTTCTGAATAAATTGTTTTAAGCATTGCAAAGTCTATCTGAAAATATACTTGATTAGAAAATATATCTAAAAGTGATCATCAGTTGCAAAAAACTTGGTCTGAATCAAAAATAAACAAATGAATGCTCACTTAATTCAATTCAATTCGATCGGCACTTCTAAATAATCCGATCTTATTTATATTATAGAAGTGACATGCTTACGAAGAAAATTCAGTTGTCAGTTGTAAATCTCACTGGGTTCGTTGAAAAACTTGCTAGCGCAGCTTATTAGAAAGATGAGGGTGTGGGTGGATGCGCGGTGTGAGTGTGTATGAAGATAAGACATTTACATCTACACGCTTAGAATGACTGGATGTCAAGTGATTTTTCTCATATGCTATTGTCAGAAAAAATTGATCGACAATTCAGATAGAAATCGAAATGTAAACATGAGGAAGACAAGCCCTAATCAATAAACAAATATGACTGGATGAGAAAAGTATTAGATTCACGTCATAGAGCTCTTACTTTGCTGAATCTAAATGATTGCTATAAAAATCAAACCCATAAAATGACATAACTTGTTGTTGCATTTTACATCTTTTGTTCCTTGTTGTTCCGAAACAGCCTTTATTTCTTTATTCCACGCATATTAATTTCTATTTATGAAAAAAAAGTAAGGACAATGACGTACGCAATTCACTGCTTTTGGTTGCGTATGTAAGTAAACAGTGAAGCCTGTCGATTTTCTGTGCACAACAAAAAAAGGCTTATTCAAATATTCTTTTTTTCATTCACAAAATTTATCCCGGTAGACACGCACAAGAAAAAGAAAAACAGTTTTTTTCATCATAGTGATGTATTTTTACTCACATACGTAATAAAGAACGGTCTAGATGTAGACTAATGCACACAATAAGCGAAATCTCATTTGAAATTATTGAGTATGATGTATGTTGACATTGAATATCCCTAGGATGTGGGTGTCTATGAAGATTAGACACCCACCCACACCCTAAGATCCGACAACTGTTCCATCTATTCCGGCGACGAAAAGTTATTCTTGCAACATTTCAGCAACTTCTAATTTTAATATACTTTCCAACGTGACACAGTAGATTGTTTAGGCCTCACATTCGTTGTCTGAACCCCAAAACTGCATCGTCGTTTCATGCTTAGAAATACGAATTATATTGTCCACACTATNCTACTTGTTTAATTTCAAGGGATTTTTTAAAAGCTGTAACAACCGCTGCTTTCATACTCTTTATTTTAATCTGAAAAAATACCGTCAATTATTAACCGGAACACATATATATCAATTGAAACTAAACACTCGTTAGTTTCATCTCCACCAATACATTAAACGCTCACTGTTACATGTGCATTGACGCAAAGAAAAAACATATTTTGATTATAAAGTTTGGCGAGGGTAGAGAGGGTACTGCATTCGAGCATAGAAAAAAAGCAAAAAATACAGAACTATTAAGACACTTGGAGAGACGAACGAGCGAGAACGTACCTCCCGTATATGAAGTGTCCTTGTACTTTCATTTCTCAGTGATTTAGAAATTGTTTTTTTTTTCGGTCCACGAACGAAATTGCAACATCTACCAAATGTTTCAAAATAAAAAATACATAAAATTCATACAAAAACAACCTTTAAGTTCATTACAAAAGAAACAAAAAACACAAAAATATTTGCATTATGATAACGATTATTATGTTATTGACAAATATTTCGTATTATTTATATAAAAGGATAGGAAATATGATAAATTGCATACCTTTTCT